AGCTTTGAGGTCCCTCCCAACCCTTCCTGTCATTCTTTGGACTTTGTTTCATGCTGACCATGGATATTCCTCAGCCCAGCTGTTTTCCCTCCTTCTATGGGATAATCCAGTGCTAAGCCACGAGCTCAGCTTCAGAGAAATTGGATTCCCGGTTATGACACCAACTAAAATTCCATCACTCCCTCCAGGGTACAGAATAAACCTCAGCATTTACAAATCTGAACTTTCAAAAGCAAAAACACCTTTAAAATTAGCCTAAAATTACCTGAATGCAGATACTGACACCTTTGGGGTTCATATTCTCAAAGATGTTCTCTGCAACACCTTTTTTTCCTTGTGAAAGCTGAAATTAGCACATTATCCTGGAGTCTGAAAGGCAAAAATCCAAATACTGCAAGGAGTGAATGATAAATTCTAAAGTGGACTTTGAGCATCTGCACCAGGGCACTCAAGATAATCAAAGTACATTAATTTATGAGGTGAGTTAGTTGAGCACTGCTTAAAACCCTGGTGAGACTTCATACTTCACAATCAGAGTGGCTTGAATTGGGTTTCACTAAATTTAGTTTGGAACCAAATCAAGTTTACACGAAATCACTTCCAGCAAGAACAAGAGCGACCACAAAGGGGCTCAGTTCACTTTATCTGTGCATCACCACTTTCATAAAAATTAACTCCTGCCCACCCCAGTGCAGACAATCCCACAGTTCTTTACACCTGGAGGTGCAATAATGCTCCTTTCCCAGCTCAGTTCTGCTTCAGCTCTAACGTTTAATTATCTCCAACACAGCAACAGCCACACCACTGCAGAAAGAAATCAATGCTCCCTTTGCTCCCAGCTCTAAATGCATGTATTCCATAATCAGCCTCACAGAACAGACATTTGGGACTGCACATCTGGGAAGCACATGAGAGGCCACCCCAGCTATTAAATTATTTTGCAACCATCCCTCTCAGACCCAGCTTTGGGGATTTTATTCTTTAGTTTTGCTACCTCCCCCCCCAAAAAAAAAGAAAAAAGAGAGAGAGAGTGATGCTTTTAGTTTATAAGATATTCATTAATAAACTCTCAGCTGCATCACTGGGATGCTTTTCAGTCCTAAAAATCCCCCACTGCACCTGAGACATCTTATCCAGAGGGTTTTGATGTGCTGGTACTCTCTGTTCCTGCCATCAGCCCTGGGACTCTCTCCCCTCACTGATTCACAGCTGCCTCTGGGGTTAACCTGAGCACTCAAACACCTTTCTAGGACACCCAGGAAAGGAGGAAAAAAATCCCAAAACGTCCAGAACAGCAAGGAAAACATGAACTGGGTTCATGTCTTCAGTGCTGACAGCTCCAAGGGGTCTGAAAAAGGAGAATTCCCAGTGCCCAGCAGCTCCTCGGGAGGGCACTTGGACTGCATTGAGAATTTTAATTATTTTATTCTTCCTTTATGAACTTCCAAAGCTGCCCAATGGATGCAGGGAGAAAATATCAATTAAATGAAAGGCCAGGATGATGTGGAGATAAAACTGAGTCTCAGAAGGAGCCAAAGTGGGCAGAGCAGAAACTTCCACCCTGTCCCACATCACCCTCTGCAACAAGAGCTGAAACCTCTGCCAAAACCTGCACTTCAGGGAGGGCATCACAAAAATCACCAAGCTGCAAACATCAATTCACAAGCAGAGCACAAAAGAATTTTGGTAGAGGTGGCACAAGAGAGGGAGAAACACTGAGAACTTCAGGTTCCACTCCAGCTTATGAACTGCCCATTATTTTTTTCACTTCAACTAAAAGTTTTCCTCGAGGAAAAATCAAGGAAATAACATTTCAGGCAACTTTTCTCAAGTGAAATGCTGCCCAAAACTCCCATGGGGGTTCAAGCCAGAGTCTGAGTGTTTCAGAGAGGTGTTGAACCTCAAGCCCTGGGCTGGTGCCATGTATCAGTTAAGGATTAATATTTCTCCTTCTTTCTCTCAGACTTTGCTTGGAAGCCCAAAATAAATCACTCACAGAATCACCCAGGGTATTTTCTTTGCTGGAGCTGCCTCTCATCCCCTCCCTCCCTCCCTCCCTGTGTTTTAGGAGGGTGGCAATGCTCTGAAAAGGCCGGATCTTGGCTGACTTTATTGCTGTTGGGGCCAAGGAAAAAGGGTGAGACCCATAAACACAAAGATGCCAAGATACCAGCAGGCTGCAGCTGGAATGCCCAGCCCTGGCTGCTTTGTTCCCTGAGAATAATCAATAATAATAATAATAATAATAATAATAATAATAATAATAATAATAATAATAATAATAATAATAATAATAATAATAATAATAATCAGAGATCATATGTAACTAGATATGAGGAAAGTGGAGGTACAAAAAGATACCATTTAATCTCTTATTATATCCCTGTGCCCCTTCCATAAATCCTAAACGTTCTTTTTCTTCACATTTCTACTCAGAATTGCCACATCCTGGTCTGCTTTTTCCCCTCTACAGGTGCTACCAAAATATTTCTGCACAGAATCTTTGGGGTAAGAAAACCAAACATTTATGGCTGTGGGACACAGATCCACTCAAACCCAAATCCCCCAGAAAGTAACCAGATTTAATTACAAACTTTGAATTCAGGCCAGGGTGGTTGAAGTTTCACTAAATTCAGCTATCCCAGGTTAATTTAGTGTTTTCTGTGGCAGCATCTCCCAGAAAATCACCTGGAAATTAAATATATCTAGCTCCAGAGTGCTCTGCATTCCTCTGAATCCTGACCTTCCCTGCTGGCCCCACTGCCCTGACCCAGAGCAGAAACCCCAGGCCAGCTCCCCCTGGCTCAGCCCTTCTGAAGGATGAGCCCTGAATTTCCAGGGAAGGCAGGAAATTGGAATGATGGGAGCTCGTGTTTTGATAAAGCCCCTCCTGTGCTGCAGAACTCTGACCTGAGCAGCCTGGACTGCAGGAAATCACCCCAAACCATCACCCTGGGCACCCAGGATTCACCAATTTCATCCAAAACCTCAAGCCAGGTGTGGGGCTGGAAATCACTGCAGCCACCCCAGTGCCTCCTGCATCCCAACCAAATTTCCAGCAGAGCTCTCCTCCAGCCAGGGCAGCCCAGGATGCTCAGATTCCCTCCAAGGGAACTCAGGAACAAGAATTTTTTCCCTGGAGAAATCCAGCTATTGATGAGCTGTGTGGGGCAGGGGGAAAAGGCTTTGCATGGGAGCAAACCCCACTGAGCCCCAGAGAATAGGGAGAGGGGCCAGGTGCTTCAGCTCAGCACTTGCAGAGCTTAAACCTCATTTAAATTTGTATTTAAAAGCTGAACAGCAAATTAAACGTGATACAATGTAAAATAGAATAAAATAAAAAAATAATCCATCACCCTGCCCACCAAAATGAGTTTTCAGCACAAAACCAAACTGTTTGCCCATCCATAACTCACATTTCCAGTGCCCAGCTCCTAAAACACTCCTAGGCCATCAAGGTGGGGTTTTTGCATTCAGGTTCACAAACTAAGATGTCATTGTAAGTGGTTTAGAAGCCCAGCAAATTTTAATATCCATGCCAGCGTGTGTGACCAACGGGATTACCCACAATGGCTCACCTGATTAGTTATACAAATGCCTCCTTTTTTTTTTTTTTTTTTCTTTCTTTTTTTTTTTTTTTTTTTTTTTTTCCTTTTTCTTCCCCCTTTTTAATCCAAGACCGTGCAGAATGCCAAGCAGGAGAATGGGCTGTGTGCTGGAATGTCTGAGGGCTACAGGCTTGGGATTTATATTCCATGTTGAATTCATTGTTCCCCCTCCTACCCCTGCTGCCCTCTAAAATATGCTGCAGCCATGACAGAAATAAATTAGCCTGAGGTACAGGTCACACCTTCAAGGGCAGGCAGAACTCTGGGTAAAATCAATAGAGAAGATGGGAGTCTCTAACAGCTGAAGCAGAAAGAATGACGCATTGAGGGCTTTACACATCCCCACACAAAGGCACTTTGGAGAAACCCTGGTCCCCGCTGCCTCGGGAACACAAAGCTCGTTTTTTCAACCACCTGAACCCCGAGAGCAGCTCAGAAAAGCCCCATTTCTATGGAGAATTTGCATCTCGATGCAGAAAGTTCGAATTCTTTGCACCTCTGCCCGGGGAAGGGGATTCAGAAGCTGAACTCTGGCCCAGGTTGCAACTCGAAAAACTTCTTTGCAGAGAGCAGAATCTGCACTGAACTTCAGCTTAAATTTTGCAGCACGCTCCAACCTCTCAAGGGGCTGCCTCAAACAAAAAAAAACCAACAAAAAAAAAAACACCAGAAAAACTCCCCTGAACTTCAGTGAACTCCAAAGCCAGGCACCAACAGACACTGAAATATGTGTTACATTCATTATTTTAATTTATGGTTTGAAAGCAATGCATGATACATTCAAAATCATTGAGAGCCTCCAGCTCAGGCTTCAGAATTTCTGAATGCCAGCCCCTCTGAAATCAGGAGATAGAAGATTTATAAGGATTTGGATATGGGAAGATTGATGCAGGAGTCAAGTGGGTTTTGCTAATGTCCCTATGGTGAGTTAAGTATTAACTCTCAGAGTGAGGCTCAGAACCTGTTCAGACACTTCACAGGTCCCACGGGGTTCCCACCTGCCTTTCCAGGTTCCTAAAAGCTTTAAAGCCTGATTTAAGCTCCCACAATACTGCTAAAAATAGGAGTTAAACTTCTCAGTCCCGCAGGAGTTTCTGAAATTGCTACCCAGGAGGTTTCTCAATAGACAGAGCTAAAAGCTTTTCTCCTCTCCTGTCCCTCCCAGACTTCTCCAGAGACAACTTTGGCCCAAATGCAGCTGGATCTACATCCAAATGAACCCTGATTTTCTGCAAAGCCAGCAGGAAAATGTCAAACAAGTAACTTTCCCCTGACCTCTTTATTTGTTTGCTTTTTTAAAAAAAACCCCCACAACATTAACACGTGTCTCGTGGCTTTGATCCTTAGACTCACTCTCCCACCTATGGCAAAATAAATTGTATTTGTACTTACATTTTTGGACCCTGTGTGGGAAATAGAATTGCTTTCATTTCCACTGTTACCTGCAAAAATAAAGGGAGGGATTCACCATTAACATCAGGAATTGTGTTTTGCTCACAGTCACTGTCCCATTTCTCATTTGATGCAGCAACACCTGCAGCACCTCTCTGCCTTTTAGGAAAAATCGGGGTAAATGCAACACCTTGAGGGAAAAGGTTTATTCATGAACTTGTCAAGAGTTTTCCAGCTCCTCCATGGCTCGTTCCTGCAGTAACTCCCATGTGCCCGTTCTGGGGACAGGGAAGGTGGGGAATAATCACATTCTGGATGTTCCCAGCAGTGCTGTGGGCAAACATCGGGCAGAGGAGCCTCCAGTGACCTGCCCTGCTGGTCCCTGGCTCTTCTCAAGGACGAGAGGGTGATGATAATGCACATTTCTGCCTGAGATACCTCCAACACTGCCTGAGGCACCATTTACAGCTCTCCCCTTACACTTCTGCACTAGACATGAAAAAAAATACAGTTTTTAATGCCTCCCCCAAAGAGATTCCATGTCCTTATCTAGTGCAGCTCCCTTGGAAATAAACCATCCCTTGTTTTCCACTGTGCTTTCCTTGGAGAACATCCCAACAGCCACAGGGTGAGCATTCCTAATGACTGTGACCATTCCTAAATGACATTTAGGGTGCAGGAATGACCCAGCAGAGATCCCCCAGGTGGGGGCTGTTTCCCTCATCCCAGCTCTTTCCCAAGGGATTTAGCCAGGGAGTTTCAGATGGATCTTGACATCCTGATCCTCAAAACACTGAGAAATCCTCCTCTTCAAAAAAAAAAAAAAAAAAAAAAAAGGAAGTGCCTGAAGTGCTCCAGAATTCCAAGAGCACCACATTCCAGCTCTGCTCATCCCAAAGCAGCCCCACAGCTCAAGGGGATGGGATCCAGCCCATTCCTCTCCTCCTGCTTCCTCCATCCAAATTTCACCTCTGCCTCTTGATGGTGGCTGGATTCAGGTGGAGACATCTCCATTTCAAAGAGCAAAACCACACATGGAACTTGGGAGAGACACATTAAGGGTTTTTTTCCCCCCTATTTAAATAATTCGAACAACCAGGATTCAGCACAAAAATGGAAGACAGAAAAGGAGGTTAAGCACATTGGCAGTGGTCTGCTTCACTCTGGAGGTAAATGAAAGCTTAGAAATGGTAAATGAAACCTTAGAAAGAGCTGGGCCTTTCCAGGAACTGTGGAATTCCCCTCCCTTGGTTTAGAAATAAAGAAGGATTTAAATGCAACCAACAAACAGGAGCAGACTTGCCTTGGGAATACCTGGGTGGGTGGAGGAAGAAATAGATCTGTATTTAAGGATGAAAGCAAAGGAGCACAGGAGAGTAAATGGTTTATTGGCCAAAATCTGGCTGATCCTCATTTAATGGATCTGAGGATTCCACATCACAGGTGAAAGTCTTGGCTCTATGGACTAAGAGTTGTTTTCCACTTCCAGCCTTGCAAACTTGCAAATTGCAAAATCTCAACCCTAAGGAGGGAAATTAAATAAACCCAAAATATTTTCTGTGCTGAATTACAATTTTTTTAATTTTTTTTTTACATTAAGTGGGTTTCTACAAAGCTGGATTCTGCAATTTGGATACCTGCAAAGGAACAATGGAAGACCTGAGAATTCCACATCCCAGGTGAAAGTCTGACCTCCATGAATCAAGAGGTTTTTTTTACCACTTCCAACTTTTGCAAACTTAAAAATCGAAACATTTTAATCCCAGGGAGGGAAATTCAATAATCCCAAAATATTTCCTGCCCTGAATTCTAACTTTACACATGAAGTGGGTTTCTACAAAGCTGGATTTGTGCAGTTTGGATACCTGCAAAGGAACAATGGGGGAGGCCACGTTGTTTGTGCCTTTCCAAGGCCACTGGATCTGGGATAAATCCCAGGCACCAAAAATCCGTGTTCAAAACTCAGATGAGGCTGTGCAGCTTTGCAGCCTGGCTTTATTCATCTCTCAAAGCACAAGGCTCTTTTTTTTTTTTTTTTTTTTCCTCCCATAAATATGCAAAGTGCCTGGCAAAAGACCCTCCCCATTTCCCAGGAAATGGAGGGCTGGAATGTTCAGGGGGGGAGAGAACCCCATGGCCACCCCGTGCCCATCTGCAGCACCACCATCCCCAGCAGGCCCCCAAATCAAAAGGCAAAGACATTTCCCTCATCAAAAACTCCCTTGGATCTCAGGGGGTGAATGTGGGGGAAGATCAGAGAGCTCCAGCTTTGGGTTTTTGCAGATTCCTTCTGCCTGGCCTGGCTGCTGTGTGTCCCTCCCTGGGCAGGTAATCCCAGTGGGAATCCCCCAGGAGATCCAGCAAAACCCACTCCTCCTCTCCCCTCTGCACAGAGCTTTTCCAGCAAAACTCGTGGAGTTTGCAAAGATATTTTCCACTCCTAATCCTGCAGCAAGGAGTTATTCATCATACCTGTTATCCCTTTTTTTTTCCCCTACTGAGATCCTCTGCATGGGATAACTCCCAGTTTAAAACAAGCAAATAATAAATATACAGCTTTTAGACACAAGGATTTCACGTTTGCATGTGTTTCAGTCATTTCTGCAGTTTCTAAAACTCCAATAACCACTCCTCAAACACACAAACCCAAATCCCAGCTTTTCATAAGCCACATAACCATTCCCAAGTATATCTGAGGACAAAATTTAACACCAGAAGCTGCCAAATGTTTCTGACCCACTTCAAACAATCATTAACTACAGGCAGTTTCTAATTATTTAAGTCCATTTCACTTCTTATTCAGTGGTCATTTTGTTTCTTGGCCATTTGGCCTATGTTCAGAAAAATCTCCATTAGGCAGCACAAAGCCTCACAAAAAGAAGAAAAAAATTCTCTTTTCCCATTCTAAGGTTGAGAATATTTTGAATCCTCGAGAGACAGGAGTTCTAAATATGCTTTTAAAAGCAAAAAGTAGAGAGCACTTAAAAATTTAAAAGCTTAAGAATTCAGCCACCGAGTAAAATTTAGTTATCAACTAAAATTGCTTTCTCTCACCTCTCTGCTAAGAGTTTTGCAATTCCTTTTCCAGAAAGAACTGGAAAATGTATTAAAAGGCAAAAAACATCGATGCTGGGACTGGGAACAATCACATGAACAAGCCACAAGATTTTCTTGATAACACAGAGTTTATTATTCAAGAACGAGTCTCATTTTCAGCTCTAAGGCAGAGGGCGGGGAGAGAAAGGGGGGAACAGGCTTTTAAAGCACACGCTGGAAGCCCAGCATTGCATTTATAGGGGAAAAAAAAAAAGAAGAAAGAGAAGAAAAAGTAAAGAAAACAAATCTCTGTTCTATCAGCAAGTCGACTTTGCAAAAGTTAAGCTCAGCTCCCAGCAAATTCGGGCTGGTCTCACTCAAACCAAGTTTACCTTCAGCAGAGAGAATGAAAAAGCAGAGAACTGCTGAACTTTTTTTTTTTTTTTTTTTTTTCCTCTCTCTCTCTCTTTTTTTTTTTTTTTGTTTTTTTTTTCCCCCAAAAGTTCAGCTCTGCTCAAGATGGGAAGGGATAGAGGAGAGCAGAAACAGAGGGAGTTCAGAAGTCACAAAAGCTGCTCACAAAGTTCCTCTGCGCCCCCTCGTACTGACCTAAGCAGTCTTCGTTTCACAGGTAGCAAAGTTTGGTCTCCTTCTCCAGGGCGAGATTCCCACTGGCAGCAAAGCATCAAAAGAACATTGTTTGCACTCCTCTGAGGAGCAGGGAAGGGGAAAAGGCAGCTCAGCCAGGTACTGCTCCTTCCTGAAAAGTAAATCCAGCATTCTGGACCGAGTTCAAACCTCGGGCTTGACAGGCACGGGAGCGAAGCTTTTTTGCACTGAGCATGCTTCGTCCTGCACTGCCTGCACACTTAATGAACATTACTTCCTTCCCAGTGGTTACTCCTAGCAGAAATCCACACCCCCTCTTTGAGAAGTGAGGAATGCAGCTGAAACCAAAGTCCAGAAAACATGCCCGGCACCCAGACAAGGCCCCACGGATCAATAAACTCAGGTTGTGACCCGCAGGTCAGTTTGTCAAACAGGACATCAGGGTGAGTTTTTTCTACACTTGGTGGAGTTTGCTTTATGCCTCAGCTAATGCTGCTCGCTCCCCAGAGAAAATAAAACTCTGCTGGCTTTTAGAGAATGATTAAATGCTCCAATAACAGATGGGAATTCTCTTTCAAATCTTGTCTTTCCAAACCTGCTTGAAAGTGAGGAAAGAAGTTGTGCCTTTTTTTTTTTTTTTTTTTACCCCAGACTAAACTCGGTTCTTGGACTCCTGAACAAAAGCTGTTTGAATTTGTCGTAGGGAAGGAGTATCTGGTGACTTAAAAAAAAAAAAAAAAAAGCTCCTTTTATTTAGTTAGGGTCTAATCCTGTTCCGTTTGCAATCACATGGAGTTTTGTCATTACCTCCAGTGGGAATAGCACCAGGGTTTTAGATTACAAATGCTTTCAGGCAAGAGCTGTGTCTACTCCAGTGACCTGCACAGGCCAGACTGGTTTTGGCACTTCAATTTGCAATTTACACCATTGCTGTGTCTGAACCCTGCACAACAGCAAACCACCCCCCTCCCCGAATTCACAGGGAATTGCTGAAGAGAAATTTTGCAGAATTGCATGGGTTGTTTTTAAAGCTTTTCGTTGTATTTCCAGTTTTTTTCCTGCAGGTTTCACTTTGCTCTCACGTCTCAATCCTCCTTCCCAAGGGGAGTAGAAATGTTTTTTGTCCTGGAGTTTCTGCTGGCCCTGACTGCCCTGTCACAGCCTCCAGGAAAAAGCCAAGTGCCAGAATTAAAATGAAATAACACAGGCCATAATATTGTCAGGGTAAGGAGCACTAATCCCAATCACAACTGCATGGGACATCACACTCTGAGGCCTCGAAATTTTAAAATAGGTTAAAACTCATCATGACCTCAGTGTGTGAGCAAAGCCAGGCTCCACAGGGCTGCAGGTCCTGATGTGAGCAGGACAAACCACGACAGAAATTAAATTTCTGGAGTCCAAATGGCCCAGACCTTGAGAACACAGACCCAATTTAGCCTGCAGATTCTGACAGTGCACAGTGGGAATATATTCACACAAATCCAGTTCAGAACCACTTTGCTCCTAAGGGCAGCCAAGTGATGTCATTTCTTTAAAAAATCGTTTCCTTGCCCACACATCCCTGGTCTCCCTTGTTTCCTTCAGGATCATAAAAGGAAAAGTCCAAATCCTACATGACAAAACCATGCTGTGCTGCATTTCCAGTGCACAGAGCTTGAAGAGGTTTTGGAAACCCCCAGAGAAAGTTTTTGGCTGGTTTGGAGAAGCAGCCATGGCAGGCTAATCAAACCCAAATGCAGTAACCAAAAAGCTTTTCTCTTTCCACTTCACATCCCAAAGCTTTCCTGTGCTCAGGAAAGTCCCCAGTTCCCCTCAGATGCAGAAGTCCCTAACAGGGGATTTTCCTGACAGGCAGCTAAATTGGAATTTCATCTCCCCTGCACCATCTCAGCAGCTTTCCTGGGATGTGCCAAGAGCTAAAATCATCAGGTGTTCATTGATGCTCATGGAGAGCAGGGGGACAGGAGCTGAAAGGATTTACCCTGAGCTCTGAACTCACGGACCCAAGGCTTAAACACAGATTTAGACAGGATTTAAATCACAGATTTAGGTGATTTTAGACATCCTCGTGTCTCTCAGGTGTTCAGAGAGTCCTCAAAGGGTTTGGGTTGGAAGGGACCTTAAAGCTCATCCCATTCCAGCCCCTGCCAGGGGCAGGGACACCTTCCCCTGTCCCAGGGTGTTCCAAGCCCCATCCAGCCTGGCCTGGGACACTTCCAGGGATCCAGGGGCAGCCACAGCTGCTCTGGGCACCCTGTGCCAGGGTCTCAGCACCCTCTGAGCAAGGAATTCTCCCCTCCCATCACCATTCCTGCACCCAGCTGGATGAACAGGGCACACCTTGAGCTTGAAGTGCCACCAGGAGCAGGACACAGCAGTGAAGGACCTTTGGAGCACTGTGTGTGACACTGGGCTGGCACCTGGCTGGGGGGACAGCACGACATGACCCCAGGTACCCCAGAGCTGAAGGGTGCCACAAGAACTGAGACATTCCAGCTGCACCCACAAACCCCAGGCTCACAAATCCCAAACCCCATCCTCACAAATCCCAAACCCCATCCTCACAAATCCCAAACCCCACCCTCACACAGGCTCTCCCCCAGCTCCCCAGCACCCCAGGGCTGCTGGCTGCATTTTCCTGCTGGATCCCCAGGCCTGGGAGCTGCAGGCACATGGCAAATGTGCCGTGTGTGTCACACCAGGGGGAGCAGACTGCTGATTCCCTTCATGCCTAATTACCCAGGAGCTCCTGGCACGATGATTTATTTAGCACAGCGCTGGCCCAGCTCTCAGACAGGTCCCCTGTCCAAGTGGAAAACACTCTCCCTCCCGTTTTCCTGCTGAAAGGAAAACCAGCCAGGGCATCCGAGGCCACAAAACTCTTCCCTGCAGTGATGTAGGAGAAATTCTATGGACCATTGGATGCCAAAGTTAGGGTGGCTGCAGCTCGAAATGAGCTCAGAAATACATCTGTATCTCCAGCTGAAAATAAATATATTTTTTATACATTAAATATATATATATATACATACATATATTGTGTTCTGACATGCAAATTCCGTGGTTTTGAGAGTAATTTCATTTCACACAGGGATCAGTGCTACCTGTGACTCTGCAGCTGGGACAGGTAACTCCATTCAATGCCTGAGATACTAAAACACCCTTTGGGCTCTGCAATAAATGGCAGAGAGTTGGGCGGGATGGAAGAGGGCAGGAGCAAAGGGATATTCCCCACGTTTAGAAGCTCTCAGATGGACTGACACCAGCAGGGAGAGGAGAGGAGCCTCCTGCAGGCACCCCCGAGCCAGGAGCAGGGCTGGGGAAGCCTGGCCGAGTGAAAAATGCACAAGCTTTGGGCAGAGGATTGCTCGGGGTTTGGGCTGCTGCCCACAAGTTGTGTTTAACCAGCAGAGCCCAGCCCTGGGGCACAGAGCTGGAAGTTGCCAGGGTGAGGACAGAGCCCAGCAAGGCACCACATCCAGGAGGGGACCATTGTTCCTCAGCTGTGCCACTTTCAAGGAGCGCCAAACCCAGAGCGAGCAGCTCCAGCTGGGACAGCTTTGCCTCCCTCTTTTCCCCCTCAGGACGCATAAAACGCGTTCCTGCTCTCCTTCCTGACACCAGAAAAGCCTGGATTGCTTCCCATTGTGCTGCGAGAGCTTGAAACGTGGCCATGCTATTTACAGCATCCTCTTTGCCCGGAGGGATTGGAGGCGCATCCCGATTTTTCCACCATATGCAAGCAGCAGGCGCTGCTGCATGTGCCAGCACGGCGAGCCCAGCCCTACCTGCCCGTGCTGCCTTGTGGCCACTGGAAGCACTACAGAGGGGAAAAAGCTGGATTTCCCAAGGAATTCTGTCTGCATCCCCATTGTTCTCAGCGCTCTGTTGCATCCATCCTTCAATTCTTGGTGGGAAAGGACAAATTAAAGCAAGGCTCTGAAGGGTGGGGCTCGGTTTGTGCTCCTCTGAACTGGCATGTTCAGCTTTTGGACGCTGAAGAGCTTTTCAAAAGCTTTTCAGTGACTCAGAAACCTCAAATCTCTTGGTTTTCAGCGGGAGTTGGGCTCCTGCTGGAGCTGCAAAAAGATGTTCAGCCTGTGAGTGTCCTGGGGAAACATCCCAGCTTTTCCATGGACATTTAACAGCCCCGGGAGAGGCTCTGGGTGTTTGGGGTTGGAATATAACTGGGGTGGCTTTTGGAGCCTGTTGGGGTGTGTGGAGCTGGCCCTGCTGCTCCAGCAAAACTTATTCCAACCTTGCACTGAGAGAAAAAGTGACTCAGGAGACTTCATTGCTATGGACAGGACGGAGAACTCAGCCAGATTTTAGGTAATGGTGTGTCCCCAAATGTCCCCAAGAGAGAAGAGATCAGATAGGAGAGCCAAGGATGCCAAGGAGGGACCTCCAGAGGCAAAGCAAACTCTGACTCAGAGGGACTTTGGGGCTGGCTCTGTTGGGAATTGAGCTAAGGAAATGAAGATTGCAAATCCTGCTGAAGAGCTTCCTTGGTCAAACCCCCAGTAGCCAGAACCAGAGGGAAGAAATGGACTGGAAGTGTGTGATGTGTACAAAAAGGTGCCAAACTCTTCCAACTTTGGGACCTACGAAAATCAAGAAGAATTTACTGCATTAATTTGATGGAACACTAAATAAGAGTAGCTGACACGTTTTCCAGTGTGCAGCAGGTAATCCAGACATGTTTAATCTTAAATTACAAGAAGGTTTAACTTTGAGGATGGTGCAAGGACAGATCAGGAAGCACAGCAGCTCCCAAGGCTGTACCAGCATCCCCCTGATCTTCCACACAACTTTGGGCCAGGCACTTCAAATCCCTGATTAAAAGTTATCCAAGGTTGCTGTGATAAAGCTGAGACAGCAAATAATGCAGGAAAGATGCAACCACAGAATTCCAGAGGACTCAACTCAGTTTAACAAATTAATGACGATTTTTTCAGTGTCTTGTTGTAGGGTAATAAATGACAGCAGGCATTTACCTGTGACAACCTCTGGTTTTATATTCCAGGCAAAATAAAGTTGATGGAAGGAGGAGAAAAAGACAAACTACTCAAGCAGCAGCGTTGAGCTCAGGGAATTTAATTTTTCTCCTCTCTCAGGAGAGAGCTGTCTCAAGGCTAAATGTTTTGTGTGCACAGGTACATGTGATAAATACTCGTGGAGAGATGTTGAAGTGCAATTCTTCTGAAGGAGCTGAGCTGCATCATTTGTGCTGCATTTCAAACCTGAAAACAGCTCAGCTTCAATAAGACATGATACTTTAAAAGAGAAGAAAGGAAAA